ACTACTGCCTCTGGCTGCAGGCCATTTCGTTGTCCTCTTCCTTTACCACCAGTTGTTTCTGTTGTATTGTTTAGTTAATTCTTACTTGTGTGGGGTCACTGGCAGTCTTGTTTGTTAGGTCAGGTTAATGGTTTAGGTTGGAGGGGAAAACCTGAGTCTAAGACACCAGGGGTACAGACTAGAATATCTTATGCCAATCAGGGTTGACCAGATGAGTTCTAGGTTGTAGTAGAGGGACACTGGCTGCTTAAAAGCCTCTCTACTCTGATATTTAGCCCAGCAGAGAGACTGGTTAAATAAACTTTCAAATCGAATCTATAGAGTCTCCATTGGCAGGAAGGAGACTTTACTACACTCATATTAGGAGTATGTTTTTACACTAAAAAAAAAAAAAAACTGAAGACAGGTTTAGCTGGCTGTCAACGCTGCATGGTGGTCCACACAGACACGCTGTCTTCAGGACAACACTTCACCATGAAAGACTTACAGAACATGGGACAAAAGATGAAATTTGGCAAAGAAAGCGAGAGTATAACAGTGGGTTTGTGTGCGGAGGATGGCGTTCTCTAACAGCCCCTGCTGACATTACCAGTACTTGCTGGGGGGAGACGGGGGCCAGTGACCTCACCCACACACAAATTGATCTTTCTATAGCTGTGAAGACACACATTATCATGGTGCATGTCCTAGTCGCTTAACGTTGCATTCACACAAACATTTGCCTACATTAAAACAACGAAAGGGGCTGCATTGATGGGGATGTGTTTCATGTATGGATGAGACAATGAAATATGATCCAGGAAGTCCATCTGGGGTAATGCATTTATGTGTTGAAAGCTTTTAAGATGCCAAAAGGCAGCACTGGCACTCGCAGAATTTTACTGCTCTGGAAAGTTATCATGGCAGCAACAGTTCCTGTGGTAAACGGCAGAATCCAGCGTTCACATTGCAAAGTAATCCCCAGGGAATGCTTGCTTGCATCACCTTGTCAAATGCTGTCATGTTGCATTGCAGAATGCACCAGATCAAAAGCTGCATTGTTTTGCCAAAGCCCCTTCGCATGGTGCCAGTCTCCACTGTGCAACACACTGTCTCAGTTCAAAGGAATGACTAGGGTTGCAGTTTGTTTTCCACACAGAGTGAAAGTGTGTCTGAACACGGCCTGGCCATCACAACTTAATGCCCAGACCTCACTGTAACCTGAACCATCGTTTTGTGCATCTAAAAATGACATATTTGTTGTTTTTCTCGTCTCTGGTTGGGAACAGCTCTGCCCCACGGATCCAGACAGACTCACTATCCTTTTAATTTGTCTTTTCATCTTCCTTTACTGCCCCCCTTTCATAATCCACCTCTGCTCATACAGACATAACATTCACTTAACTGCAGACTCCACGTGGGCCTACTCTGTCTCACACATGCACACAAACAGCAATGCAATGGCAAAACTGAATGTGTTGAATTTCTACATCTGCTTTTTCACAGAAAATGTCAGAGCTCAGCAGCCACATATTTCATCTGAGCACCACAGGGGCAACAGCAGGGGGTGTGGGTGTGGGCGGTAAATACAGAGGGGAGAGGAATAACCCACACACACACACACACACACACACACACACAGCCACAGCCCCTGCTCTTTGTCATTAGTCTCTCGCATCAACTGTTTTTTATTGCACAACATTTGGAAATGCCACCAGCCCCTGGAGAAATAAACAGTGTCGCACTCTGCAACAACATTACGTGGACTTAATGGAAACACGAATTATACTTCGCACACAAACCACAGTGTCTGTTACCTCCCACATACATAAATACAGACCAGGGATTGAGTTTGAGATTTATTTCTGAAAGCATTTTTAGTCTCACTGCTAGAATAGTTAGTGCAGTTAGTTAGAACGTCTAGAATTTATTTCTTGGCAAGAACATTGCTACGGTGGCCCTCAGGGGTCAGTGGTCACATCCACTCGTTAATCTCTAACAGCTAAATGAAACCGGTAAACCATTTAGAATTACTAAGGAGGCACCTCAAATCGCAGCCTAATTACTTTTAATTCATTGCAAGCTATTGTATTATTTGTTTACTGCAAGATTTCAAGGGCATTTTTGTCCTCAGCACCTGCTAATGTCTGACCCTGACACACACATCCCCCCCACAGTCTCACACACACACACAGAAAACACAAACCTACTGTAAGTGACAACTTTGCATCTAGGCTGCTGAGGGGGAATCATGCCATCTGCCAGTAAACGACAGTCTTTTTATCCCTACTGCTCGTCCATCTGTGGAGGTGGGGAGCTCTGCTGGAGGCCAGGGGGCTGCAGGGGAGACGAGACGTAGGCCGGAGATGCCTACCAGGAACCATTGCTGCTGTATGTATGTGGTGTTTAGCTCCATATCATATACAGTCTATATTACACTGACATCAGTGGTCCTGACAGTTAAAGCTTAAAAAGATAACGATCAAGGATGTGTTTTGCTTCCCTTTTGAGTTTTAAGATGTTTTAGGTTTATAAGACTCTGATGATCACCTTACTTGATAAAATACACCAAAGAATTAGCCCACGGTTTGTCAGAGGCAGTAGATGATCAGCTCAATATGAAAAAAGCTAAAATTATTTTTCCGCTGGTGGGTAAAAATCATGCAACCTAAATTTTAGTTATTTATTAATGTTCTCAGCTTGTAGAGCAACATGTACAGAAACTATGAAAAGGCCTAAATGATGCTGTGATTTTTTGTCTCCTTGCCAACAATCTGACTACAACACACAGACAAGACACGTTTTTTAGGAAAGGTTGGCTTGTAATAGCATTTAGCCTTTCATCTCTGTGCTGGCCACAGGGTGATGTGCTGAACCATTTGTGTAAATGAGAGAGGATGCAAGTTTCCTTCAGACTAAACACCCTCACTACACGGAGTGGTTTTGTTCTACACTGTAAAAAGTAACATTTCTGCACATACAGTACAGTAGTGGAGAGACCTCATGGCATAACGTGACATTAATCCTTTGTCCTGTGATTCAAGGAGCCCAGTTTTTACACCTAGTTGAATCAAGCAAACTTGTAAAACATCATCTAGACTGTGCTTTTGGATGCAGGTGGTCCAACCTTTTCTGTATCTGTAGTCAAGAAGAAACCTCCATCATATCAAAAGTGGACAAAGTTGGACTACAGAAACTTTTTCTTCTCACTAAAATGTTCCTGGCAGAGACATGGCTACACATCATATCCCAACCATCATCTACCTCAGCTCAAATGAATCATCCCACCCTAACATGACAAACATTAGCAACATGAAACATTATCCTCCTCAGAGCAGTGTGTCCTGGCTGTATCTCGCCATGTCTGCATACCGTGCAGGTACACCGAGATCCCAGCCTGAACGCCTACCACCCAGAGGGGTGTAAAAAAGAAACACTCTTCTTTGTGGATAAGGCCAAGCACGATCGGCTGCGATGGCTCCCAGCAGGGAAGGCAATCAGGCAGACAGAATCACAACAAGTCTATTGTAAGACTTGGGTTTTACATGAAAGAGGGCATGGGGCTGAAAGAGGAGAGGAGAGAGGCCCTTTGGCTGTGAAACGTGTGTTTCACACAGGTACAGTGGGATTGTGTCAGATCAGCCTCATGCAGATCTGTTGTTAAGTCTTTTGGGGAAAGTACAAGTCAGACTGAAGCCAGAAAGTAACTGGTTTAGCTTTTTGAATGCTTAAGATTACATAACCTATAAACATTTTCCTTTCCAAGTTATCGATCTTATTGTTAGAGATGAAATCCTTTCAATGCAGAGCCCTAAAACTGAAACAAAGTCTTCTTTTTATTGTTCCAGGAGTTTTCCCAAGTCTCAAGTCCTTATTTTTTGTCACTTAAGTCTGTGTCTCAATCTCCGGTCTGACCTCAGTTAATCAGAACAAACGTAACAAAAAACGACAACAACTAAAATGACAGATGCTTCAAAATATAGTTTTAATACTTCAAACATTATAAGGCTGAAATACACAGTGTAACGAAGCAACAACACAGATCAGGTATTTCTATCCACCCTGTGTGATCTGCACAGCTGCATCCAATGACAATCAGTGCACTCCACATCAAAACAATTCACTACAAACCACAGAAGATTCAGATACAAAACAAACTTCATCTATTAACAGAAGTCATTTTTCACCAAAAAGGTAAAAACACCAGATGTTTATAGGAACGATGTGCGAATAAGTTCCTCCTGCAAACCATTAGGGGACAAAGTATTATCTACATCACCGCCTCCTAGGTTTTCTTTGGTTTTACTGTACTGCTGTTAGTTTTTTCACACAATATGATTAGATTAAAGAAAACAGTCGACATTCTCTTGGACTGATCTTTGGGCATTTCTCTGCTTTGAGAGGAAAAGTCGTGCTAAGCTCAGCAAACAGAGAAGGGTCCAATTAAATCCTCCTCACAAAAAAGAAGACTCCCACACATTCACATAAATAATAATGTCCATTTGAAGTGATGAACACAGAAAACCTGGTTTATGACCAAGTGCACAGCTGAGTTTTTCCACCTGAGATGTTGAGTGAGCAAAAATCCTTGTTTTGTCCAAAACCACTAGATACTTAATTCACAGTGATATAAAACAGAGAAATGCAACAAATCCTCACATTTCCAAAGCAGGATTCACTGCATGCTTGGTGTTTTTCCTTTATAAATGACCACTACAAAAACCAATTAGGACCATGAAGTGAAAAGATGTGCAACTGTGTCAGATCATTTTCCTTCATGTGTTTATTTCTTATGCACTGTGATGAAAACCCTTTACTTGGCCCCAGAAACATGATGCCTTTAAGAACATTTTCTACCAGAAAAAGGATGATGGCAGCAAATTGTCAATTTGCTCCATAATGTTGCAGTTTTCTGTCTCAGACCAAGCACCAAATCTTTTGTGAATACAATTGCCTGTATTGTTTCAGCAGTGGTATGAGCAGCATGTACAAATATGCTAGGGTCTGATACTGGATCCTACCTGTGGGCTGAGCAGTGGGCAGCCTGGCCGGAGCGACGCACAGAGGCAGGAAGAAGGAAAGCCAGAGCGAACACCACGGAGCCGTCATTCCTCTGGACGAAGAGGTGAGACGCAGAGCAGCACGGCCCGACTCAGACAACATCGTCCGTTTGCATGCTGTCCAGCAGAACAGCGGCCCCACCACTGACCTGAAAGTGAACAAACATGAGGAAAATTTCAATCAGAGCTGAAGGAGACTGGATGTTACCTTGGAGGGAAAGGGGGATCAGTGCAATCAGAGAAAGAAACCAACACTGTTTACAATAAAGAAAAGTAAGACTGAGCACAGTACAAAGCGCCTCAGGGTCTGCACACATGCTACCATATTTTCACCCGACATTCCACATAGATTGAAAGATCACGGTGGAAATCCCTATTTACCTTTTTTCTTTCTCAGAATCGTTGTCTGAAATGGGTGGGTAGGAACTCTCATATTGGAACAGTCCATAAAACCCTCTGTATCACACACCTGGCCTAGGATACAAGTTCATTAACAACTAATTGTGCTGCAAAAGGATTAGCTGAGGAGGGAGAGAAATCACAGTATCTGACCTAAACAGCCATTCCTTTCACAGAATGCTTTTCTGCTTGCGAAACTCTTCTGCGTGGTCTAACAACCAATTGACGTGGACTCACTAATCTTCCTGTAGGATGAGGAATGTCGAAGTCTACAGTATCAGTTGCCCAATGTGTCTGGCAGCTTGCAGGAGGGAGAAGGAGGAGGAGGAGGAGTGAGTGTGACGGCCGTGGTGAGCGACAGAGGAGTGCCCTGCACTGTTTGCTTAAGCAGGGAGACGCTGGAATGTACTGGGGTTTGCAGAGAAAGCGCTGAGTGGGGTGCCCAGAAAAGCAAAGCAACCCCCCCCCAACATCCACACACACACACACACACACACACACACACACACACACACTCATTGTTAGCTTAAACTTTAGCAGCTCTGTCCAGCTGCAGGACAGACCTTGTCCGTGAGACCACAGCCACCCTAACAAACACACATGCACAGGTTTGGAGAGCGGTTTAAACGTTTCAGAGTGGGCTTTGTTTGCACAGAAAGGTGTATTTTACACACACACACACACAGTCCAGAGGAAGGTTGTGTTGTCTTAAGACTTAACAGTACTGTTTTTCTTTGCCTCGGAGGATCTGTGACCCACTCCTTGCTCAGCACTAAGTGAAGCCCAGGCTCTGTTTGCACATTATCACTCCTCTACACACTTGATAAGGCAGCACCGACACACACGCAGTCCCAACCTAAACACTGCCACTGCACCTTTCATGTTCCAACAAACTGCAGCCTTTATTCTCTAGAAGCGCTCCAGTTGTTCTCCTCCTCTCTCAGCCCATCCTCACTTTCTTACAACGCAAGACACCTACAGCTGCTGCAGTTTGTTTCTACAGGACTTTCATTCTCCAGGCGTGAAGGTAGCTGATTGCAGGTCTCTGCCAACTGAAACTTTGGTTTTCTTTGGAAAGTACACACAAACAAAGAAATCTCAGCTTTTTATGGGCACTTCACTTTGAGAGCTGACAAAGCTTGAGGTTTGGTTCAACATGCAGATCTGTTTAGACAGGTTGTATGACAGCCTGTTGAAAGTACAGGCTTCACATTGACTAATTTGGTGACAGGTATTAGTCACTAAATTGTGTACACAGTGAATCCTTGAATCTGAGGAGTAGCCAAGTGTTGCAACATGATTAACATGGAACTGAAACTAATTACAGCGCTGTGTAAGAAAAGTAGGTAATGTGTAACTTTACTGAGCAATCAAACTCAACCAAGCGCTTTTTTTACACTGAAGCGACGTGTTGAGCACAGGACATGACCTCATCACACACTGCACAGCCAAATACAAACAATCTGATTTCACCAAGAAGAAGAAGAAGAGTTCCCAAAGCCTTCGGTGTTTTCATGCAAATATTTTCTTAAGCATGAAAGGGAAACATAACCACTGCAGTGAATAATACATGAACATGAATCATGCAGAACTATCTTCACCCTGTAATAGCTCGAAGGCAGAAAAGTGCTTTAACTGGGGTTCAAGTCCCTGTCGTCCCAGTGGGATCAGTGCGAGGAGGTCACATGCTTGTCACACCTCTACAGAGTGACTTTGATAATTAAGCCAGAGAATCAACAGACGGGGCCAGATCGTCTTTGTCATTTTGGGAAAGGAGGATTAGATGGTTTTTGGAAGAGCACAAGTGCAAACATGATCCAGGCGGAGAGCAGGTGGATTGATGGTGGAGAGAAAGACAGACAGACTCACAAGGGGGTAATCTTCCATACCATCATCATCGCTCTTCTTCTTCTACCATTTCTTAATTCTTCTCTTGTATTTCTGTCCTCCTGCTCCTCACTTTGTCTCCCTTTCTCTTGTCTCCTCACTTCTCCCCTGCCTTTACCACTCCATCACCCTCTCTTTACAGCACCAAGGCACCTCATGTCAGAAGAGAGGCAGAGAGCTCTGCACTTTAAAGCTGTTAGAGGTGTAAAGTGCTGCAGGCTGTGGACTCAACTCGCCTCCACCTGACACGCCACCTGTCGTGCAGTGCATGTACAAGAGACTACACTGTCCACACAGAGGATGCAGAATGACTTTTTAGTCGGTGAGGGAATATAGAATAAATAGGTAACCATAAAAACCACAGTCACTGAAACCTGTATTATGAACATTACAGCAGACACCCTGGGAAAGTAAATGCTCTGTTTTAAATGCCTCAGATAGATTATGAGACCTTTAATACTATAGTGCAGCTATGAGAGAGTAAATACAATTAAGTACTATAGAGCCACTGTAAACAGTTTTGTTCCTACAGAAATATCAGATTGGAGTATAAAATACTAACAATTGGGCCTAATAAATTGTAATAATCTAAATGTTACAGAGACAATTGGTTGTAAAACTCCTATAACGTCTCTGCTGCCACACACATTTTTTTAATTATTGGAAAATGATGGTGAATTTGTGTGTGTGCATGACAGATATCAGCTCTTCTTAAATAAGTTGGAGCAAATGAATGCACTGTTCAACTCTATAAAACAGAAAAGAAAAGGCACTAAAGCTACACAGGGAGATGGTCCCGGGCCAATTTCGATAATGAAAAGAGGCAATCAGAATCTAATTTGGAACCGAAATGCAGAAAATTGGTAGTCGTTGTTTTTTTTGGGTCAATAGATACAATTAATTTGCAGCATTAGCCTTATTATCACCATTCAGGCGCTTGTTTCATGACTCCACAGTTTAATAGGCTAATACAATGCAAGTCCCGAATCTCATTTCAGCGCCCTGCTGTGGGACCTAATAATCCGTTCATTTTCTCCGGTGGTGATTTTTCATGGTGCGAATCAAAGCGGAGCGGAGTGGCCAAAATCAACATCTGAATCCCATTGAAACGCGTGTGTTTGAAGAGGGGATGACTGATCTGCTGCTGGTGAGGGAGCGAACCGCACAGTTCGTTCATTCAAAGAGAAGTCTGCTGCTTTCTGGAGGAACTTCAGAGATGATCACAGGCATTAGGGAGTGCGGCTCTGCGAAACAGACTAATGTGTAATTCATCTGAACCAGAGAAGACGTCACTGTTGCAGTGAGGAGAAAGGCGTGTTCACTCTAACGAGCACGGGGTGATCATAAAAGTCAATATTTTACTTTTTTACAGTGAAATTACGAATGGAAACGTTTGACTGATGATGAATAGGAACCAAATTAGTCTCAGACGCATCTGATGGACATCTCAAACTCATCCTGATCGACAGATAAACGTGCGTAATTGTGCCAATTCAGGAACATTTGCCACGTTTTCTCTCATTCCATACATTTTCCACAATTCAAAGCATCAAGATTTTAAAAAGGACAACTTGAGAATGACTTCTGATAATGAAAAAACTTTTTCTGAGCAAGTTTGTTTTTCACTGAAAAGCACATCCATTTTCCAGCCCAAATATAGTAATTTTTGTAATGAGTCTAATTTCACCAATAGCCACAAACATGCCCCACTCACAGCGCAACCAGCGCTGAACATAACAGACCCTCTTTCTCCAAACCAAGGAGAGGAAAATAGGCACAGGTTGTGTCCTCGCTGTGCTCACACCGGCTGAAACCCGACGATTACGCACAGACCAGAACTCAGAGGAGTCGTTCCATCTGCGTCACCTGTGCAGTGGCAGGAGCGCGGGGCTGCTCCTTGAAGCTCCACGCTTCACACACACTGTACAGGACTGCTGCTGAACTCAGAGAGACTTCAACCTGTCCGACTGTCATTTACAAGGAAATGAAGATCTTTCTCATTCCCTAAGTGCTTGTAAGAAAAATGTGCGTGAGAAAGAGAGAAACAAAAATAAGAAGACGTTACTCACCCAAAATATCCCGTTTTCAGAGCAAATGTTAGCTTTCCAAATTTCAGATGTCATTCAAATGTCACCAATCATTCATGAAAAGAAAAAAAAATAACCGAATCTCCGTAAACTTCATAAAAACCCATAAAAATAATTTAAAATCCAACAGTGGAAAAGGTTTGAAACCCTCCTCACGAGTTGGCTGCCAGAGTCTTTGGCTCGGGCACCGCCGCTGCCACTAAATCCCGTTTCTCACTGAGCGCTGCTGTCCACAGTGTCCAGACCTCCAGAATGCGTTCATCGTGCCGTGCGCGAGGAACGTGGAGGAGGTGAGGAGGCGCACGGGACGTAACGAACGAGGTTCTTGTTGTCGTCCTTGTTCTTGTCCCGCGCGATGCCAGTCGGTGCGTTTCGTTACCTCCGATCAACCAACTCGGACTGGTAAGTCTTCTCCACTAGGTGACTGTGAAGTAGCTGCACGGTGCTGCAGTCAAGACGGAGCATCCAGGAGACATGGGAGTTCCGCTTTGGACTTTCAAAATAAAAACGTAGGCCAGGTGCTGAGGCAGTGACGCAATGCTTTTGTGAATGGCTAAACTGAATAGGTGGGATCAGTTCTAAACAAACGCACACACGTTTATTTTCACGTATTTTCACACCACGTGTCCCTATAACGTAGAAAATGGGCAACATTTCAGTTGTTTTGAGCCCAGTTTACATTACAAACTATTAGTTATGTCGTGTTTATCTTCTCAAACTGTGTCTTGTAAATTTTTTTGCAACCCTATCGAGGTATTGGATGAACATTTTAAAAGGGATTTAAAGCATTTTCTGTACTTGATATATGAACAATTATACAGTAGCCCAAATTATCAAATAAGTATAAGCTACAAGTCAAAGTGGCCGCAATTAGGTCATAACACCAATCACATTCTACGAATCGACACAGTCTATAATTTTATTTTGAAGGTTGAGCGTCATATGGTTTTCACGGTGTGTTTGTTGATGACTTGACGCTGCTCTCTTCGCCTCTCCCGTCCCTCCACGGTCCGGGGTGCCTCCTGGCTGCCTCTGCCACCGCCGGGCTGCGCGCCGCAGGACAAGCGGCAGCCGCGGCGGGGGGGGGGGGGGGGCGGTTTT